CCCCCCCCGCGCCCACTCGCACGAGCCGAGGGAGGGCGAGGGCCGCACTGCCCCGCTGACCCCCAGGCATCCGCAGGGCCCCTTCCTCTCCCCCAGGCCCCCTCCCGACTTCCTCTCCTTTATCTGTACAGGGCGGGCACCACACACACCCTGCGTGTGCCTGAATACATGCCTGTTTGTTTCACTGCTTCATCCTCACTTCCTAAAGAAATGCTTAGAATTGGAAGAATTAATGTCCATTCTTTGCCCTGACTACTGAGCCTCCTGCCTGGTTCTCCGTCACTGGCAGTTTATCCTCTCAAGACCCTCGTGTGGGGCGTTTGTGGGTGGTTTGCGTGGAGTTTAGGCAAGCAGCTTTTCTTAGTTCAAACCCATGTTGCTGCTAACTCGAGGACCCCAGGAGGTGTCTGTGGCCATTAAAGAAAATGTGAGAGAAAGAGGACTTCCTCGGTACGTACACACCCTCATCTCTTGCAAGAGACCCTAAAACAATGCTGTGTACCACTGCCAGGGCCTGATGACGAGGAGAGGGGTGCTCAGGGGAGGTGGGGTGCTCAGACTAAGGAAGCTGTGTCAGGGTCAGGACCCTTCTTGGGTGGAAGGGAGACCCCAACGCTTGAGAGAGGGTTCGTCTGGAGTAAATGCCCTTAAAAATCTTGAATTCCAGGTATCCTTAAATCTTCTGGACCTGAACAGGTGTCCCACCTCTCTCTGTAAAGGCAATGCTCTCTCTGTGCTTGACGATGACACAGAAACCCTGTAAGGCATACATGTGCCCCAAGACCTGCCTCCAGCCGCAGCGCTCCACCCATCGGCCTCACCCAGCTGGAGAAGTGCTGGGTCCACCGAGGGAGAAAGGTCCGTTCAGCAAAGGAGCTTCAGGACCCAAGAAACCCACGCAGTGGGAGCTGGGAGACTGAGTGCAGAGCCAGATTCAGAGAACGCTGGACTTGGAGAGGCAGGAGGTGAAGGTGGGGAGGTTAGAGTCTGTTGTCTTGGGATCATTCGACCATGATACAGGATTTGGCCCCTGGCAAGTACCCCATGCTCCCAGTACAGCCTTTGGAAGCTCGTTAAATGTTCTCCCACACATCTGAGTGCAATGCTGTCGTGGCAGACAGCAGAGGCAAGCACCCGAATACTCAGAGTGGGCACAGGAGGGTAAATAAACTCTGTAAGCCTTTGACTAGGTTTCCTGGAAAGCCCAGAGGACACACCACTTATGAAAGTGATGAACAATGTGCTGGTGGGACCTTCACCAGTGGGGGCAGCCAAGAGTATAGCTCGATTTATACAATCAAAGGAGATCCCAGAAGGTGTCTGGAAGCCAAAGAAAGTTGTCCTAATATAACGTCACAATCCCTAGCCCAGTTTCCAGACGTGAGGCTGTTCTCGTCTGCAGAGCCCACTGGTGGGAGCAGAGGACCTGGCCACATTGTACGTGGTAGATTCCCGAGGAACTTCCCAAAGGAGTCTGTGGCTATTTGCTCAAGTAATGGTACACCTGAGAAGGGGAAACAAAACACCTAAACATTCTGAGGGCTGTTGGGTACAGGGTCTGTGTCAACACTGGTGCCCAGGAACCTGAAGGCTGTCATGCCCCAGTGAGAGTGGGACTTGAGAGGTCTATATGAATGGAGCCCTAGCCCAGGAGTGGCTAACCATGGATCCGGGCACCTTCCAAGTGACCCAAGTGACACCCCCCCCCCCCCCCACTGCACAGATGGCAGTGGTAGGGGTGTGGAGTGGTCGTCTGGTGGCTTAGGAGATGTTCTAGCAGAGAAGGCCAAGTGGGATACCAGGGGATTATCAGAAGTAGTGACACATCCTGGGGGAGAGACAGAGCCCATGACTGCCCGTAAAGACCTAAGGGGTCATTTAATTCAGCAGCCCCACCTCTAATACCAGTTCTGGAGGAGGCAGTGGACCCACAAACTCAGGCCCTCAGGGATCCCAGTTGCAGGGCTGTGCTGATGTGCCCCCCCAGGCATGTGATGTGATGGGCAGATCCAGCCCATTGTGTATGGCCACAGAGCTGACAAATCCCCTGGATAATTTTTCTCCAGTGCGCATTGTTTGGGTCACACAGCAGAGAAGCTGCACTGAGTGCGCCTGTAGTAAGGCTCTCCTGAGTGTGCAAGCCCAGACGTCCTGTCCTGCTCCTGGAAGGGGCCCGAGGGCCCAGGGGCACGTGAGCCACACTGTCACATGTGGCCCCTCCACCACAGGATGGGGTGGGCCTTGCCAATGTTCACCCGCGGCTCCCTCCTGGGAGGGTGGGGGCCACACTGTCCACCCTCCTCCAAGCCCAGGATGGAGCTGCACACCTGGGAACACGAAGGAATCCCTTCTCTTGGCAGCCAAGGAAGCCGCTGTGGTGTTCTCCAGTCTCTCCTGCTATGGCAAGTGAGAGGCCTCATTTTGAAACTCAGAGATAAGACAGAAGCAGCCTGGACCGCTGGGTCACTCCACAGAGGGCAGCTGTCCTGGGGTCAACTGCAGGCTGTCCGTGAATGCCAGAAATGAAATTCCGTGTGTAAAACCAATACCATCTGGGAATTGTTGGGGTAGCCCAAGCCTGTCCGATCTTCACTAATAAGACCTTAATAGAGTTTTTATGGGACGCCACTTGGTTAAGATCAGTGCAAATGTCAATTTGAGTTAAGAGTGAACTATAACTCAATAGTTAATGGATTTACCTGCTGAACAGATTTGTGTAATGCCTTGATTGCTTATTATTCTTGATCCTAATTAGCCAAATATCAAGGTATTTTTGAAGACATCCTGAAATCAGCAGTTAACTAGACCCCAAATTTTGTCTTCTTAGCTATGGCAAGAGGATAGGATTTTTTTTCCCTTCTAAAATCTCCATCAAATTATCCCCAAAGAAGTATTATTTGATGATAATAATCCTCCTTCCCTCCTTCCCTCCTTCCTGATTCACATAATTTAGGAAGACTCTATTCTGACACTGGATTCTCACAGCAGAATCACAGCACCCACTCTGAGGAGAAGCGATCCTGGAACGCCAGAGAACCCAGCACCTGACCACAGAGGGACCCGACTGCAGAGCCGCGGTAACGCAGAGCGAGCCCCAAACTGCCTCACTGTTAGAACTGTGCGAAACAAATTTCATCAATGGCCAGCAAGAGCTGTTGCTCTGTGAAACATTAGATTTAGAGATGTGACATAATCTCAAAGAAACTTCAAAAAGGCAAAATGTATAATGTGCCCACCATTACAACACAAGAATTTTTATTTCTGTCTCAAGGTTTTAATAATATTTACATACAATTTTACACAGTAGATATATAATTTATTGTAATGAGTGTTTACTCTGTTTAGCAACTAATTTATTAGCAAACCTTTGTCCAGAACCTGTTCGGTCCTGTGGGAACACCAGAGAAGCCCAACTGCCCCGGGGCCCTCAGGGCTCCGAGGGCTGTGAGCTCCTGCTGCAGCTCTGTCTGCCTGCTGTCAGCCCAGCTGAATGGTAAGGCAAGAAAGACAAACAGCAGAGAAATCCTGGAGTAGAGAGTCTCCAAGAGGCAGGTACAACGGAGCATGCATGAAAACTGAAGGCCCGTTTCCAAGATGTGATGGCCACAGGAGACTGGAGAGCCACCCGGCACCCGGCAAGGTCCACGAGAGCTTCAGGGTGTGGGTGGCATGGAGGAGTGGACAGTGGCAGCTGGCTGAGGAGGACATTTGCCAAACTGCATCACCGGGAAGGACCCGACTGCAGAGAGGCAGAGACAAAGCTGCGGGCGGTAACATGTTCATTTGACTTTGAGTATGAAAATGATTGACACTGTGTCTATTACATTTATGGTCTGTGACATACCATTTAAATTACTTTCTATTCCTTCAAAATTATTTGATGTGAACGTGACTCTTCTCCCCAATGATCTCTAAGTTTGTGAAATAGGCATAACAGAGGTGCCTGCCACTGCGTGGACCACGGGTGGTTTGTGGGCTGTGGTATAGCAGCTAGCCAGTGTCCTACAAATGAGAAACATCACTGCCCCGGGACAAGGGTGGGGCCATTCCACTCTCAGCCTGGTGATGCCAGGACAGAGCTCCAGGACAGGGCAATGGGTGAAGTACGGACACTGGCTCTGCTCTGGGTCTGCCAGGCCTGCCCAGCCCCCACAGGCACAACAACGGGGACGTCAGGCCCCCTGGGTGTGCTTGCAGCCAGTGCAGAGGGAGGCTGGCATCTGAGGGACTCGGCTCAGGTTCACACTGAGCAACTTCTCCCAGGGAAGAAGATGCCCTGCAAAAGATATTGTAGCACTAAGCCCTCTGTCCACTGCAGCTTATTTGGGACAGCCAAACCCAGAAACAGCCTTCAGCCGGTCCTCGGGCAGGTCACCAGCTCCCAGACTTCACTCGGCAAAAGGAACAAAATATTGATGCCCACGACGGCCTGGGTAGATCTTGGCTGAGAGAGGAGGGCCCGTCCCACACGCGTCAATTCCCCTAAAGGATGAATTGTAAGGATGGAGACAGACGGGGGTGGCAGGGTCGGGGAGGGACAGGTGGCTGTGGCTGAGCAAGGCAGCAGGAGGGACCCTGAAGGACAGAGAAGTCTGCTTACCCACGGTGGTGGCCACATGGAGCACTCGCGTCAGGGTCACACCAACCTAGACACATGCAAGTGCAGGTGGAGCTGGAGCAGCCCGAGGGGTGCGGTCATGGCAGCGCAGTCTCCTGGTTGTGACCTTGCGCCATGGTCACCACCATCCTGGGCCATGTCACCACTGGAGGAAACTGGCTGAAGGGCACATGGATCTCTGTATCATTCCTTAGGATTTCATGTGAATCTACATTTCAAAATAAAAATGTTTTGAACAGGACAACACGGTGGTAGACAGAAATTGGCTGACTCTCCTGCTGCCCCACTCAGGCCTACGCCCACTCCTGCGGGGAGACTGAAATCTGGCTCCCCACAGGAAGGGTGTGCCCTGTGTTTACTCACCTTGCCCTGCGAGCAAACGGTTGATGGTGTCAAGGGAAGGTCCTTTCTTGCAACACCGCAGGAGTCTCAACTGCACTTGCACCTGCAGCTCCAGGAAGCCCAGGCAGGCCTGCTCCTCTGCTACCCCGTGTGCAGGGCCCCATTCCCCAGAACCTGCTCCATCACCCAGGCTTGGCTACCTCTGCTTCCTCCAGGAAGCAAGCAGACCACTGGGATTGCTCTCTTAAGGCTGAGGTTTGGGCCACATGAATGGGCATGTGGCCCTCCCCACAGGCACCCGAACCAACACTGGGTGGAAGCAGCTGCTCAAACTTATTAAAAGTAAATGCATTTTGGTCACAACCTGATACACGCACACAATGACTCGATATAATGTGTCCCAACATTTTATATTCTATCCTAGCTCACTTAAACTAATATGACTTACTTAGTTTTAATTAATTTAAAATTTTCAATTAGATAGTGAGCCACTGGTGCACTGGAGGTACCAGCTCACCGAGCTCCAACCATTAAACTTCAGGGATTTTGGCAGCTGATTGTTAAATGGACCCATTATTAAAACTTAAATGATACAAGCTTACAAAAACACACGCTATTGAAGTCATCATTGCCTATTATGGGGTGGAAATACAATACAATGATATGCCCTCTGCATTTCCTGCTACCTTGGAGTATTTACACCATGGACACTGACCCCTTTATTTCCATTCACCAGCACATACTGGCTGAGACCCACAGTCTGAAATGCCCTGTTCCAGTCAGTAGCCCTCCCCTATCCCGTCAGGAGCCCCGGAACCTACGGTCAGCCAGACACTGGTGCTCCCGGGTACAGGGTGAGAGGAGATGGTGTGGAGGTCAGCACCCAGCTTAGCGGAGGGGTGAGATCTGCTCTCCACCCCGTCCTGCTGCTGTGGTGTTCTCTAGGGGCATCTGCTCTTTCCAAGCTTATTCAGGACACACCGGTTAGGAAGTGGGGAAAAAACAAGTAAGAGTGTGGGTCCTTCTAGCCGCAACTCCAGGCGCCCCTCGAGAATGTGACCCACAGAATGCCCTTGGTGATGTGATCCTTTCACCAACACAAAGTGTCTAATTACCACATTTCAAAGCATTTTCTCCATCACCAGTCTCAACTGCTCTAAAAGCAAGAGTAAGGGAAATTTCAAAGAACACATTCATAAACCTCTTTTGAACTCATGTTCCTATACTCACACCAGCAGACTGAGCCCCAGGTGTGTCTTTCCCCATAGTTTTAACCCAGGCCCCAGACAGCTAGAGGCACACACCCCTTTAGAAGCCACTGTGTCCCCTCCTGATTTTACCTGACCGTCTGCCTGGGCCTGGGCCTGCCCACCTGGGCTCTGCACGGGACAAGGCACCAGGCACGCAAGGCCACAGTTCCACTCCATCCTGGCTCTCCTGCAGTTTTCAGGTTCAATCAAGAAAGAACACCATAAGCAGGCCCCTTCCTCTGGAGGAGGAACCTTGACTTTCCAATTTCCGTGCCCACAGGCCCGGCCTTGGTGTCTCTGCCCCTTGCACGACTGCTGTGGAGACGCGGCTTCTGGACAGACAGAGAACGGTGGCCAAGCAGGCGAGTGTGCATGGGCGCTGGGCAGCGGGGCCATTCCTGGGCACCCTGTTGTTCACACTCTACTGTGGCCCACAGTCCAGGGCACTTGGAGCACATGTTCATGGTGGTGAGAGGACTCCTGGGATGTCACTGCTCCTGGTGCACCCTGAGGCCACCTGTAAAGTGAACGTGTGGAGTTGAGAGAGGACGCAGACTCACTGAGATTTTCAAAGCATACATTTCTATTTTACCAGACCAGAAATTTGGGATGAATTCAAGTATGGTCCCTGCACTGCACAGGAATAAACTTCTGCCTTTGACTTCACAATGAGAACCATCCTCTGAAGCTTGGTGCAGGCCGACTCCCTCCTCCTCTCAAACCCTGACAGCCTCCCGTCTAAACGGTCAGGCTTGCTGTGCAGCCGCAACCACCAGGTCTTGCTCTGCGTCCGCCGACCTCACCTCCTGTGCTCCTGGCCCACTGACCCCCCTGCTACCTGCGCTGGGACACCCCCACCCTGGCTGTTCCCCCCGACCCTCGACAGCCACATGTCGCTCTTCCTTCAAGACTTGGCTCAGATGACACCTGCCAAAGGGTTTCTCTGATGGCCTCATGTCCAGTAACTGCCCTCTCCACCCCATTAATCCTTCAGCTCTTCACTCTGCTTTATTTATCATGACCTGACCTATTACATACGGAATTGATTGCTTGTCTGTCTCTCCCAGACTTAGTGAGGTGAAAATATCTAATTTAGACCTTACTTTGCAGCAACAGCCAGCCACTGATCTGCACTCAGAATGATGCTTCTGTAGGTTCTATTTTTCAAGTCCTGCAAATCTATTCCATGGATAAATTGGCAATATCCACCCAGCACTAGGAATGACAGCACTGAAAGGCCTGAGATCTGCCATCTGCCACCTGCCGCACGCCACACTAGGATGTCACACACTGCCTCGCCGGACTCCCACCAAGTGCAGAAACAGAGGCTTGCTGACTTCTCCAAAGCCGCACACCCAGTCTATGGACTTTTCAGTAGCAGTCCCAGTTTCCACATGCCCAGGATTTCTGAACCTCACACACTGTGGTTTTTGAATCATGGTCAATAAGAAGCTGAGCAGAAAGCACTGAGACCCGGAGATGCTCCGGAGCTTCTCAGAACTCCCAGGGCTGACCAGCCCCTACGCACATCTGGGTCCTCCTGGAAGGGAGTCTCAGCCCGAGCTCACACCTCCCAGCTAGCCAGCCACTTCCTTCCTCTCTCCAGAGCCATGCAAGGGAGCTGAGACTTGCTGCTCAACACCCTTGCTCAGGACAGTCTGATGCCAGCAAGTAAGCCTGCCATTTGTGTGTGTGCGTTTTCCCTGGTCTGGCCTACCCACACATGCGTGCGTGCATGGGCATGCGCACACACACACACGTGCACACATGCATGTGCACATGTGTGCACACATACAATGTGCCCACAGGCATGCAGACACACGTTTGCACACAGATGTGCACACACATACACACACAAACTACTTTCACAGCCATCCAAGTTAGCCACTGAAAAAGAAACTGACAAAAAGAAAAGTAGTTAGATTCAAATGGAAATTTAAAGGTACATCAAAGTGAGAATTAAGATCCTGACATCATAATCATTTTGTGTCATTGGGGACTTTTCCAGTCCCATAGCTGTTCTGCAGCCTACTGACCAGCACCCTCTTAAGCAATGAGTCAAGGGTCCCAGAGGTTGGAGTTCTGGTGGTTTTGTCAGGCGAGCAGATAGGAAGCTGCCAGCACAGTTTCTGAACCATAACCCAAGGGGAGCTCCTTGCTGGTGGGTTTCCCCAAATTCCTTTCTCGCCCTCAATGCTGAGTTTATAAAGGCAACTGAGATGGCCTGCAGCAGGAATCACAGATGTATTTTCTTTAACTCATGTGGGTTTAAGGTAGAGGGTTGGGAAGTGAAGGTGCTCACAACAAACCCCGAGCACTGACGTCTTGCTCCCAGCTCTGTTCTCACCTGCTAAGATGTCAGCACCACTGCATTTTAGTTTCCCCATGAAATAATCAGAAAAAATGATTGTATAGCATTTTGAAATCCCTATTCAGAAGGACGGTATCTGGTTCTTCTTTCCTGAGGGGACCTTGTACTTCTGTTTCATCTTTGTTTTCATAATTCCTTTTGTCGTCTAAGCTAAATGCTGGCTTTTATTACACATAGATAAGCAGTGCTGTGTGATCACCAGCATGAGGCTGTTCACACAGACTCGGGTATTCAAAGCCTTCTGCAAACACAGAATTTTTTAAATCCCCAACCATGTTCATGATGCCCTTGAATCTTGGCTGTTCTCTGAGACTCTCAGAGCTGACAGGCGAGGCCCAGCTCCACACAGAGCCCTGGGCAGGGATGGGGGTGGGGGGCTCAGCTGTATTTGACTCCACAGCACTGTATGAAGTGCATTATTCCCAGCTGAGTTACTAGGACGAGTTACAGGACTATTTGCTCAAAACTCTGAGAGGCCCATGTCATTGCGGATCCCAACCTAACTTCTCTCACAGAATCTGGGAATGAGACCAGCCACGGCGTCCGAGGGCCAGCACCCTGCAGACACAGTGCCAGGAACCTAGAGCATCCCTACGCATCTCAGGGACGCCACTGTGAGCTGGGACTCTCAGGGACCCCCTGCAGCCCCATCAGGCCTCTGTAACCGCTGAGCATCCTGTGCTGGCGCATGGCAGATCTGAAGGCTGGGAGCCCCTCTGCCTGCAGCTCATGCTCCTGCTCAGAGCAGCCCCTAATCATTGTTCTCTACTCCTTTGCAAAAGACACCGATCCTTGAGCATGCAAGCGATCACACATGAAAGTCACTGGGAGTTGGCACCACGTGGGACAATTTCTCAGGTGGCAGAAAACCTATATCGTGTTTTATTTGAAGGGAACTGAATAATGGAGAGAGACCACAATTTATAAGGCCACTGTCTTTACATTGTCTCAAATTTTCTCCTTAAGAAATAAAAGAGATTGTGTGTAGGCACCCACACACATCACTGAGTCATCTCATTCTCTTCTCTGGCCCAGTGGAGGCACATCACAGATTTTGACCAGTACTGGGCAGCATCAGCATGTCACCTATAAAACACAGTAAATTAAAATGTGATCAGTAAACAGTTGCTAAATTTCAGAATGTGATCCTTTATTTCCTTTCCCTCAAAAAAATATTTCGTAACCAGTCTTGGTGTTTTGGGAGCCTGGGAGAAT